GTCCGAGAAGGAAGGCAATGTTTGCTGAAACTTTGGTGGCTCCACTACGACGAAACTTGGCGTGAAGACGAAAGATATCAAGACATTCTTCAGTAGTTAAGCTTCTTGGCCGTAGATGTCGAACGTAGCTCGTTTTCGCTTCGTAGTCATCATCGGAGATGGAGTTGGTTGCGGGCATGTCAATGGAGGAAGGTCCACGAATGGTGACAACACGCTATTATTTTCGAGAGTTTTATGTGGCACATTTCATGCAATAAAATGTACATCTCCTAAATTAATTTGAATTAATGTTCAAAGGTTATACGTTATTGTAGGGGGAATGTGATGGATTCTGGATCATTGTGGTAACTTTTCTGACAGAGTATTGATTTTCACGTATGACGTCCAATGGGCTTTGTTTCTATCACAATGAGTCCGGTTCACTCACAAAATATCAGGAAAAATGGTCACGTGGCTCAAAAGTTTTTCCCATGGTGCAGTCGTGTACTGTCAGGCAACTTTTGTAACTTGTTTTCAGTGACTTTGACTCACCCTTTCATTGCATGGGACGTCAACTCTAAAAACGCCGCCTTGAGCCGTTCCTTCTCCACAGGGAGAATAGTCAGGTCCGTGAAGCCGACAATCGTCAGGGGATCCGCCACCGTGTAGTTTGCGCTTGACGACGCGATCGTACGATGGACCAGACGCGCTGGATTCGCATGGTGCTGGGTGTGTTTCGTTTGTCATGGAGGCAACGTGGCGACCTGCTGCATGTTGTCAGGGTGCAAACGATCCACTGGGGCTTACGCGTCCCACACGATGCAGTACAAACAACAAATCCTGGCGAACATTGGCCATCCTCCTGTATTCGTTACGACCATTGTGCTGTTTGATGGATGTAGAGGCCCTCGTCTGCCCCGAGAATTCCATTATCTTTACACAACTCAATTGTTTATATCCCGGAGGAAGCGACCGATGGCCATCGATGTTCGCATCTTGCTGTCTCTGGCGCTCTTGGCCGTCTGGATGGACCCGACCGCGGCCGACGGGAGCCAGGTCGACTCGGTGAGCGAGCCATTCCACGGCGAAATTAGCAGAGGGGTCGAACGAAGAGACGAGGCGGTGGCCCTCGAAGTGGCCAAGCCGCCCAGGACCCGCCGACTTACCAAGAAAAAGGCGCTCGCAACCACCGAGGAACCGCGTTTCATCGGGTACTGGTCTAACCTATCAAAACAAATCGTCGACTCTGTCATGGGTTGGAAAGGTGACAACTCAAAAAATTTGGATCAAAAACAGCTCCCCAATCTGCCCAACCAGCCGGCTCGAGGGCTGCCCCATGGCAGGATTGGAGCGAATCGTGTCAAGCTTTCCACGGAGACGAAGCACAAACACCCACCACGCCACCACCAGCCACGTCGTGGCAACGTCCGCGGTCGGATATAAGAAGCCGATGTTGCAATTGCACGGACTGGTGCTCGATCGAAACTCTAGTGAGTGCAGCGAACGCATCCCGTAACTCGAATGCCGAGCTTTGCTTTGCACAAACGAATTGGCCATGCTGCGACCCGTGGTCCACTCGACCCTGCTTGCAAGGTCACATTGTTGCAACACCCGACGAAAGTTGCGGACGTTCTCGTCATCATGGCTTGATGTAGTTGGCGTACTGGGTCCTCGAATTTTTGGCCGCCGCCAAAGCAGCAGTCGTGACGGAATGATGTTGACTGGTGCAACCAGATATACCCTGGGCAACGAAAGCGGCGACGCAATAACGCTTGCCGTTGGGTAAAATACTATTTGGAGTGGCTATCTCAACGCACCATGAATGCCCATGACTGTAAGGGAGCGAAAGTTGGCGCAACCATCGCGATGGTCGCTAGGTAGTGCAGCAGCGACGTCCACGGTGCGATCAAGGTCATGCCTGGCAATAACCATGGGCATCGGTTGCAAGGGCAGTGGCTCCACGAGTCGATGTGGTCGCATGCACCCCTCGTGAATGCACATGTTCATGGTCCCACCGGACAGTCCCCCCCCGCGTCGACCACCTCGAAGGGTTCTCGAAGGGGCGAGCCCAGACAAACCGATCGTCGACGATAGTGTCCAACCCGAAAGCGACGAGGCGGATGTCAACGGCCAGTCACCGATGCCACCATTGTGTTAAAGCCAGGGAACCACCTCGCATACCCCCGCGAGCGTCTCCCCGGCAATGTCATTTGGCCGAGGGGCATCGGCGGCTGCAACGGTCGGGTCTTCTTTCGCGCGTGCAACTTTGTGCTGGGCGATTGTGGGCCGCAGATTCGAATTCCCCACCGACTGCGAAGATGGCGAAAACCGAGCAGAGCGTCGGGATCGACTTGGGCACGACGTATTCGTGCGTAGGCGTGTGGCAAAACGACCGCGTCGAAATCATTGCGAACGACCAAGGCAACCGCACGACGCCGTCGTACGTGGCCTTTACCGACACGGAGCGGCTGATTGGAGACGCGGCCAAGAACCAAGTCGCGATGAACCCGTCGAACACTGTGTTTGACGCGAAGCGGTTGATCGGGCGCAAGTTTAACGACCCGATGATTCAGGCAGACATCAAGCACTGGCCATTCAAGGTGGTGGCCGGGCCGGGCGACAAGCCGCAGATTGTGGTTGAATTCAAGGGCGAGAGCAAGACGTTCCAGCCGGAAGAGATTTCGTCGATGGTGCTGATCAAGATGAAGCAGGTGGCGGAAGCGTTCATTGGGGTGGAGGTGCAGAATGCCGTGATTACTGTGCCAGCCTACTTCAACGACTCGCAGCGGCAGGCGACCAAGGATGCCGGCGCGATTGCTGGCTTGAATGTGCTTCGCATTATCAACGAGCCCACGGCCGCCGCGATTGCGTATGGCCTGGACAAGAAGGGCGGCGAGCACAACGTCCTGATCTTCGACTTGGGCGGGGGCACATTTGATGTGTCGCTGCTGACGATCGAAGAGGGCATTTTTGAGGTCAAGGCGACGGCGGGAAATACGCACTTGGGGGGCGAAGACTTCGACAACCGACTGGTGGACCACTTTACCGACGAGTTTAAGCGCAAGTACAAGGGCGACTTGAAGACGAACCAGCGTGCGCTGCGCCGCTTGCGCACGGCTTGTGAACGGGCGAAGCGCACGCTGTCTTCGTCGACGCAAGCGTACCTTGAGATTGACTCGCTGTTTGACGGAATGGACTACAACACGACCATAACGCGCGCGCGCTTTGAAGACTTGTGCAGCGACTACTTTCGCAAGACGATGGAGCCCGTGAAGAGCGTGTTGCAGGATGCAAAGCTGTCGAAGAATCAAGTGCATGAAGTGGTCCTTGTCGGGGGGTCGACTCGGATTCCCAAAGTGCAGCAGTTGCTGTCCGACTTTTTTCACGGCAAGGAGCTGTACAAGTCGATCAATCCAGACGAGGCCGTTGCGTTTGGGGCCACGGTGCAAGCGGCGATTTTGAGCGGGAGCAGCGGATCGCAGAAGCTGCAGGATTTGCTTCTCTTGGACGTGACGCCCTTGTCTCTAGGGCTCGAGACGGCCGGCGGTGTGATGACGACGCTGATTTCCCGCAACACGACGGTGCCGACAAAGAAGTCGCAGACGTTTTCGACGTACGCCGACAACCAGCCGGGGGTGCTCATCCAGGTGTACGAAGGCGAGCGCACGATGACGCATGACAACCACTTGCTGGGCAAATTTAGCCTGGATGGCTTGCCCCCCATGCCCCGGGGAGTCCCCCAGGTCGACGTGACGTTTGACATTGACGCGAACGGCATCTTGAACGTGTCTGCCGTGGAAAAGTCGACGGGGAAAGAAAACAAGATAACGATCACGAACGACAAGGGCCGTCTTTCCAAGGACGAGATTGAGCGCATGGTGAACGACGCGGAGAAGTACAAGGCCGAGGACACGAAGAACAAGGAGCGCGTGGAGGCGAAGAATGGGCTAGAAAATTACGCCTATAGCCTGCGCAACACCCTCCAGGAGGAGAAGATTCAAGGCGCGATGGACGCAGGTGACAAGAAAGTCCTGGAAGACAAGGTGCACGACATCATTTCGTGGATGGATCGAAACTTGGCCGCCGAAAAGGACGAATACGAAGGCAAGCAGCAGGAGCTCGAGAGTGTAGCCAACCCCATTCTGCAAAAGGTGCATGCGAGCGGCGGCGGCGGAACCCCCGGTGGAATGCCCGGCAGTCAAGGTCCCAGCACGTCCGGCGCCGACGGCCCCAAGATTGAAGAAGTGGACTGAGCCTGGCCCACGAGGCGTTTTGAGCGCGATGTTTTGCATTCTAGTTATGTGTAGGCAGCGATGACTCGACATGAACTAGTGGGGTCGGTAGTCGAATGACGTTCCTCTGTCTATGCACTGGCCGACTCGGCGACGATCCACGTCGTCACCCTTGTCAAGAGCTCGGCATCATGGTCGACGACACTGGAACAAGGCTCGTGGTGGTGCAAATGGCGCAAAAACGCATTTTGAAAACGCTCGCGCAGCGCCAGCATCATCTCGGCGACCCGTCGGTCCATCTCGAGGACGATCCACCCGTCGATGACGACGTGTACCTAGCAAGGTTCCAGCCACCGATGCGTCCCAGATGCATGTGAGCTCACCTGGTGCACGTTATCGTCGGTGGGACTTGCATCCACGACCGCGTCATGGCCCACGAGCAACGCCATGGCAAACGGAGACACTTTGGTCGCCACTTGAGCCACACGCACCCGCTCCGATTGCATCATGTCATGGAAGCACACCCAATGCACGAGGTTGTCGTCGTGGGGTTTCGATTCCTACCACACACGAGCCACGTGGCACCGCATCATGAGGCATGGTGGCGGACGCTACCTTGGGATACATGAGCACGGTGGACGAGCTCAGCTTGACCTTGAATTTGTCCTTGGTCGTAAAGTTAGCGCCGCTCCCACTTTTGTACATGAGGTTGGGATAAAGTCCAGCGGCAAGGACCGCTTGCGCCATCGGTTGCTGCCGTGGCGTCGACAGCGCGGCCGGAGGATGGTCGTAGCCAAGGGCGGCGAATTCGTTGCCCACTTGCTTGACTACCCCGAGGATGTGGTCCAACGCGGTGTGGACCAGCCAGTGCTGCTGGCAATACGAGTGAACACTCTGCCGCGAGTGCGATTGCCTGGCAAGGATATAGCCTTGCAAGGCGGCGTGAACCACTAAGTGATCGCTGGACGTCGTGTGCCCCAGAGCGCGCTTGATTTGCTTGCGCTGTTCGCGCTGCGCCGGGGTCATCCTGCACCGGCACAGGTCACGTCCGCCTTCGACTTGCAACCAAAAAACGTACCCGATGTCAGCGACAAAGGGATCGCGGAACGTCAGCGCGCAGCACGTGAAGAGCAGCGGTTCAAATACACCACAAAAGTGCCCGAGAAGAACCATCTTGCCGATGGCGGGCGGTACGCCCAATTGAGCGAGCTTCCACCCGAGGAACGTGAGCTCGTGGTCGTCGTCGAGTGCTCCTGTTCATTCATTCGTTTGAGACTCGCGGTGTCAAGTCGAACGACCCCACCAACGTACCCATGAGTTGCAATGCTGCAATGGCCGACTCGATGGCGTGGAGCGGGGGCGGGTCCAGCGCCATGTGCAAAAACATAGCAATCGAGTCGAACCCGAGCGCGTGGTTGGCTTGGTACTGAAGCAACTGAATCGCGAGCACGATCTCTTCCAGCGAGATGGCTGTTGCACACGAGTGACGGGTTGGTAGGCATCCCCAACTCACGTACCGACGAGTTCGGGGGTCATAAACGGAGGCAGGTCGTCGTACCGCTTCTTCGACATGAGGTGAAAGCATACGCCCGGGGCGACGCGGCCCGCTCGACCCTTGCGCTGAGCGCAGTTGGCCTGGCTGATCCACTCGGTGTGCAGCGCCGTGTACCCATTCACGACGGACGACTGCTTCGACTTGCCCGTATCAATCACGTACACCACATCTTCGATCGTCACACTCGTTTCCGCGATATTGGTCGCTAAAATCACCTTGCGGGTCCCGCGGGCCGGACGAGAGAACGCACTACACACGACAGTCAGCTCGACGCAAAGGGAAGCGACGACAAAACTCGACCCCAGCCAAGGGCCACAACGCAACGACGCCCATGCTATCGTCCGCAACAGCCACCACCGCAGTCCCATCTGAAAGAGACCTCTCCTGCATGGACTGGGAGATGGACTGGGAGTGCGGCAGGCTTCACATGCCAGAGACGTTCAAAACGACATGCAATCGCTAGAGATAGCGAGCCAAAGCATTCCTGGCGATGCCAACACACAGAAGCAAGCACACCTAGCCTAGGTCACTCCATTCGTCCGCGTCGAGCTCTGGTGTGTTTTCTCGGCAGAGTGGAGGAACAAGCAAAACGACTGCGTGTTTGGAAACGTACCGTCGCTGCTCGGCCGGCGACAACTTCGAGTGCAGCATGGTGAGCGTGATGCGTGCCATGAGTGTGCCATCGCACGCCATCAAGTCCGAGATCGCCATAATGTCTTCCCACCCAGGAACGAACACGAGGACCGCGCCGTCGCCGTACTGCGCCGTGAGCAAATGCTGCAGCAGCGTCACGACGAGGGTGGCATCGATGCCCCCATCGAGGGCATCCTGTGTAAGCTGATACTGCTCGACCATGATGTCCATCTCACGGCGCTTGAGCGATTGCTTCCTCGCAGCCAAGACCTGGGCCACGTGGTCGCAAACCGACCCTTCCATCGCGGCATATCCGTCCATGGCATCGACATCCATGTCGAACGTCGTCGACAGAGCAGCCGCGGAGGGCGCCGACGACATGGTGTGCCATTCCGTGCCAGAGCAAGTGGCCACATGCACGCCGAGGTCCTCTTCATCGGCGAACCCTTTGGCATTGCACATGACGCAGATCAAGTCGTACTACAACTCAACACGTCGATCACAAGGACCTGGACAAACGATGCGTACCTCGATGGCGGCGGCGCGGACTTGCGACCCCAAATTCGCCGACGCAGCGTCCCTGGTCAAGACGAGCACGTCGTCGAGGAAGCAAGGGAGGACTGGGTACACGCGCCCTTGGATCTGCACGATCGGGCACCCGTCAAAGTAGGCGGCAAACTTGTCGACCTGAATCGTCGCACTCATCAAGATCACGCGCAGGTTTGGCCGGTGGGGCAGGATCAGCTGCAGTAAAATCAGCAAAAAGTCCGTGTGCTTGTCGCGCTCGTGCACTTCGTCGACCACGATGTGGGTGAACGCTTGGCCTGTCGGGTCGGCGCTGAGCCACTTGAGCAAGATGCCTAATCGGTCCGAAGGTACAGATGAACATTCCAGCGATGGCCCTAGCTTTCTGCACCCAACCGGCGTGGTTGGATGGTTTCGAGATGTCGATGGAGACCTCACCGGTGGTGCAGAGTAGGAGCCGCGTGTGCTTGGCGCTGTACTTGGCATCGAGCCGAATGCTGTACCCCACATCCGTGCCCAACTCAACTTGTCGCTCGTCTGCGATGCGTTGAGCCAGCGTTATCGCCGAGATCCGACGAGGTTGGGTGACAACCACACGAGTCGCTCCGTCGTCGACGAGAAATTGAGGAATCTGTGTAGACTTGCCGCAGCCAGTGTCGCCGGCGATGACGACGACTTGATGCTGACGGGTCAGCGCAAGGAGCTCGTCGCGATGGCCAAACACAGGGAGAGCTTGCTGGCTCGAGCTGTACATGTGCGGCATGGGAGGCAGCCGCGGCATCGATTTGGAAAACGATGACGAATTGGGATCTTGGCGGTGGGCGGGCGGCGCACGCGCTGCTCCGTGATCTTAACAACAGAATATGTATGATGCATATGTGGTCCAACGGTGCTTCGTGATCGCTTACCCGACGACGGCCCAAGTGGATGCGCGTGAAGGAATGCTGCCATCGACTGCAATGTCGACGGAGACACTGACAGGGGCGTTGGTGGAACGCGTAACGAAACCTCCGTCATGGATGCCGTTGTCTTGGCGCGGGTCACAAAGATGAAGCGCGCATCGTCCTTCCCCGTGCTTTTCGAGTGGAAGCCATGCTTCGCCGCCATGTTGTGGATATACCGACGCTGGGAGTTGTCCAGCGTACTCGGAAACGTGAGCTCTGCAGCAGAAAACGTCGTATGGAGAAGAAAAGCAAGGAAGATGGCACCGTACGTGGTATGGACGGGTCCTCCTTGAGTGCCTTGAGCTGCGCTGCAACGTACATGACAAACTCTTCCGTGAGCGCAATGGGAGCTTCTACGCTTTGACGACCTCTTCCTCCACGGTCGCCACTTCTTTCTCTCGGTGCACCTCCACGTTCGTTTCCTCGACCGTGCTGTGGTGATGGAGGTGGTCCCGTTCGGGCATTCATTTGCCCACGCCCGCCTCGGCCACCTCCACGCGAAGAGTTGTCACCTCTGGCACCTTCATGCCGCCCTACACCGCTGGTGTTACGTCGATCGTCTTGAATCCTTCCACCACCCCGTCCACTCCTGCTGCCGCCACGTCGGCGGTTATTGGTTGCCGTGTCCATGCTTGAAGCTCACGATGGTGTGTTGGCTCACACTATTTCTTGTTGCACACTATTCTTATCCGTATGATACTTTGGCTACAGGCCAAAAACGAATTTTTGCAATTATAAATATCATCGGTTAGAAAATATTAAGTACGTTACAACCAAGACTATTTCGAATTGCTTGATCGACATTTTCACCATTTTCATCCAAATTCAGAATTCAATTGCATCTAATGTGTTCTCGAACTACTGCGTCCCGCCATTTGAAATCGTGGTCGTACGACAATGTCGAATCAAGTTCTCATCCAATTCGGAATTCGATAGCACATACCGTCCTGTGGAGCATTGTGAGGAAGGATATTGAAATCCTTGATGCGAAATTGTTACACAGAAGTGAAGCTTCATGCTATCCGCACAGCGTAAAATATGGGAACTCTAGAAAATGATAAATTGTGCACAATTTATACCTCACGCCAGAATGGAGGCGCATGAAATCGCATTAAATTACAGGGGGATATATAGAAACTATGGTACAGACAGCAACAATCAGTGCAACTTGCCGACGCTCGCCGTCTGACTCCGCGTCACCCACCGCGAGGCGCGATTGCAGAGGCGGTGGACGACGGTGCTCTTCTTCTCGTGAAGGTTGACGCTCACGTGGATGTCGTTCGTTGCATGGGGCGCTTGAGGAGGGTGCCGAAGGACGAGAACACACAACAGACCGACGGCAAGCACAGCCACGATATGCAGCCACAGGGTGTCAAAGAGCACACCAAAGTCACCCAAGACACTCGACGGAGTTGTCGCCATATACATGGAGGTCGTCGGCGACGATGGCGCAGCGGCACTCATGCCGTGCACAACTCGCATGGAGCGGCGGTGTGACGAAGAAGGTGCAGAGTGCGCATACGGGTCGGAGAAGAGCGTAAGACCAAAGACGAACGCGCACAGGACAATGCCGGCGGCAGGGGCGGCTAGGGTTGCCTTGTTGATGACGGGAGAAGCGGGGGGAAGTTCCGAGGAGGCCGCTTGAGACGAAGAAGTGGAGACAAGGCTGCGCAGAAAATGCAGTTGTTCTGTGAGAGACTTGATCGTGGCGTCCCGTGCTGCTAGTTGAGCATCTCGCTCAGCCAACTGGGCTTTCAGGTCGCTATTTTCGGTCGCAAGATCCGATACTTGGTTTTTTCGGCGCAGGCGAGACTTGTTCGCACTCTCACGGTTCTTCATTAGTCGAATCTCATGCTTTGAACGCTTTGAAACCACTTGAGACTCCACCAAGTTAGAGTCGCTGTCAAGGCTACGCTTCACCGTTGGCAAGCCGATCGGCATGGCAAACGGAAGCGTCAGGGCAGCAGGGACTACTGCAGGCATCCACGGATACGCCGTCGCCACGGGGTACGAGTTCGTAGGGGATGCCGTCGTGATTGACGAGTCGGAGCATTCGCTCGCAGACGGCGACGACACACCTGCGCTGGAGCTATCGTCTGTCGTGGTGTCGTTGAAGTCATGCGGAAACACCTCGTTCTTGAACAGGGGCAAGTCGTCAAAGATGTCGATGTCGTCTTCCATGGTCGGGTGGGTGGACGAAGGTGGCGCGCCATCAAACAGACATGCCATGTCCTCGTCGATCAGGATCATATCTAAATGCGCTGTGTCCATGGCGGCGGTCGTGCGTGGAACAAGCCGAATGCGAAAATGCCATGCTGGAATAGCGCGGTTTCGACTTGGTCGCGTTTGATTGGTGGAATTGGGGAACCTACATTCTGGAGAACAAAGGTATCCACCAATCAGATCACTTCAATCTTCTTTGACCAATCAGCAGACGACAGCGCAATTCGCACGTTGGCATTACGGCCGAACCACGCCGGCCTCCGATGAGGGCCAGGATGTGCCCTGATTCACTGCAGCGTAGGTGCGGAGACAGCTAGGCGTGGTACCTTTGGATAGCTGGGTGACGGAAGTGTACACTCTGGGGCGATGACACGTCGCGGCCGCTTGTTTGAACCAAATTGCCCGGGTGATTGGCGCATTTGCAGCGCATTTTGACTACAGAGGGTGGTCGTTTCGCTCAAGCGCGCTGGCTGGTTCAGTAAGAGCAGCGAAGTGTGTTGAGGAGGCGTTGGAAGGGCTTGCTCGACAGCAACCTTTGTCAAGAGCATCGCGACACCGCGCTGTGCCTTCCATTCGCCTTGTTCTGTCCCAGTTCACAAGGGAAAAAAGAACTTTAACCAATCACGAAACAGTACGAAACCTTGTACCTCCAACGTTGTGACGTCCCCGAAGGGTAAAGGAGCAAGGCGTTCCATCGCTTGGCACAAAGCTGACACTCTGAGTAATCTCGAGAGACCCTCGGTTGGACTGCTAGAGCGTTGGAGAGCTGAAGAATATGGCATCTTTTCTTGCTCATCTTGGCACGAACGTTGTTGCGTACACAGAGTTGTTTTGATTGGTTGAATTTTAGCGAATGAAAACCGATCATTTTGTCTTCATTCCGGTCGGTGTCGAGGAACGTTGCGCACGGCTCCACATGAAGCGCCGAGCACCCCTCAACAAGTCTCCCAAGGCAGCTGCGTCGCCGCGGCATGAGGTGTATGTGCAATCGCCCAAGAAAAGCTTCAATGGCGGCGAGGTTCCCGTCGGTGATGACATTGCGAAACCAAGCTTGTCAGTCGTCAAGCGCGTCGTTGCAGGCATCTCCATGATCGGTCTCTTCGGCCTCATCATCTATGGCGGTACACGCGCAACTACGCCATCGCTCTCGTGCTCATTTGTATCCCAGGACACTTGTACGTGACGTTGTTAGTTGTCATCCTGCAGGTACGCCGCCTCCCAGAGTGTCCCATCTTCGTCAACATGGATGTGGCGTAGACACTCATTTTCCGAGAGCTCGTCAACGTTCGATACCGCGCGGCAGCGGAGAAGAACATTCCGTGGTTTCGCAGCATCCAAGTACGTCACGTCCGGTCGTCGCAGAATGTCTCAGTCGACGGATGCAGTGGTGTTGGTTTGGGGTGGCCTTGCTGTACAACTACGGCGACTCGTTCCAGTCGTTCCTGCGGTCGACCCATACCAAACTCGACTTTCCCTGGTTACGCATGTACCTGCAGTACCACACATGGGTTAGCTTCAGTCTCTACGCCACGCTCTTTGTTTTCTCGGTGCTCAGCCTCAAAAAAGGTGATCTCGCCATAACGTCCCATCGTTCATGCGTCTTTCATAGGGTATTACAAGTACCAGATGGGCCAGCTGACGTGGACCATCGTGACGCTGTGCTTGATTGTGTTCCAGATGCGCTCCATCTTGGACAATATCTTCAAAGGCCTCGTGTGGCTCTTCTTTCCCGCGTCGCTCGTGGTGTGCAACGACTGCTTTGCGTACTTTTGCGGCAAATTGTTTGGCAAGCGCTTCATCAAGGCGGCGTTCCTCAAGCTCAGTCCAAACAAGACGTGGGAAGGGTTCCTCGGCGCGTTCGTGTGCACGGTGGCGTTTGGTTTCTGGAGCAGTGCGCTCTTGGCGCAGTCGACTTGGATGACGTGCCCGTTGGAGTCGATCGAGGTGCGTCCCATGCTCTCCGTCGTGGGTACTAGTATGACATGCAGCTGATGCCACCGCCGCTGACGTGCACGCCCCACCCGGTCTTCATCAAGGCATGGTATGCACTGCCAGCTCCAGTGGCGGCGGTGGTCTCGATACCTCGCGTGCAGTTGTACCCGATTCAGGTGCGCGTCGTCCGCATGGGATGGGGACATGTGATCGCTGTTTTGAAAGGTGCATTCGCTCGTATTTGCGTGCTTTACGTCGGTGATATCGCCGTTCGGCGGGTTTTACGCGTCGGCAATCAAGCGCGCGTACAAGCTCAAGGTTGGTTCGTTGCATGTTGTTCCGGGATGGTGATGGGCGGTAGGATTTTGATTCCGTCATTCCTGGCCATGGCGGGTTCATGGACCGCATGGACTGCCAGTTCATCACGGCGCTCTTCACGACGGTGTACTGCACGACCTTTATTTGGTCGTACTCTACCACCGCCGACGCCATCGTACAGCAAGTCGTGCAATTGCCCCGCGACCAGCAGCTGCAGGTGCTGCACCAGCTCCAAGCCGTCCTGGCCACTGCTTTGTAGCGCGTCGTTTGAGAGCGCGACAGGCGTCAATGTACGATAACGTGCATGTCTTTAGCCGTGCAAAGTACGCGTTGGAAACGTCGTTGCCATCGCGGCAGATAGCTCTTTCACCTCACACATCCAGGCGCTGGTCCATTGAGATGCATTAACTGCTCGCCGCGTGGACGGGAACGTCAGGGATCTGCGGCCGAGTCCGCCGCGTGGGCCTCTTTTCGGGTGGGGAAGCGCGCGAAAATGGACCGCGACCCCGACGTTATCGCGGCGAGAGCTCCCTTGACAGAGGGCGTCCGCTACGCGCGTGCATGGATTGTGCAACAGGTCACAGCGGTAGACCTACCAGGTTGCTCTTGCAATCCACGGCCCCAGCATCCAACAACACCTGGACGACTTGGTGGTGGGCATTGCGCCGTGCCTTGGCCACGGCTGTGTCGTCGTCCTATTCAAGTACCACGACCCGTTCGTCAGTCGCTTCGGGTCGCCGCCATGGAGGGTGCACCTTGTCACGGCTTTCCAGTTGAGCTCCACCTTGGACGAGCAGCTTCACCACGGCCTCGTGGCCATTCATGGCTGCCAGCAACAGCCCCGTTCGACCATTCTACCGAACTCTCGCGGGACTGTCGCAGCAGACGAATGCTTTACGCACCTCATCTTGGACGTCAAGCTGCGCACCGCGCCGCAGGAGGCATTGCACCATGCCCGCACTGCCTCGGGCTGCGGCAGCCGCCAACGCCGTTTGGTGGTTCTACAACCATTCAGATCAAGCTGCATCGTCCGAGACATACCTGGTCTACTGCGTCGACAACGGCGCCTGCGTCCGCGAGGGACTCGACTGCACTCACTTGATCTTCAGCTGCCGCGGACATGAGCGCAGTCTTTCCTGTCTAGACGCTCACAACGTTATTTTGGACATGGGCGGTGAAAGACCCACCGAGGTCGCGGCCTCCACAAGAGCACCCGCTGAGATCAGCATCGGGATGATGTCGACGAAGCCTTTCATTGCTGCCACCATCAGCGCAGTCACCTTTTTCTACGCCGCTTTGTTTGAATGGATCGCGATGTGGACGAGAGATTACGTCAGATGTCGCGTGGTTGACTTGAACGCCGCGGTCAAGCAGGAGCCGGCAAATCTCCGCCTGGCCGTGGAACACTGCGTAAAGCAGCGGGGAGTGGTCATCCTGCTTATGTGTCAGGCATGCGTTGACCCTGTCGACAAGTGTACCTTGGAGCGAAATTCGATGTCGGCGCCGGCGTCGACGAGGGTTTTGACGATCGGAACATTGCCCGTCGAAATCGCGAGCATCAGTGGTGACATGCCCTCCTACCCCCGACGTGTCAGGCATGTTCACGAAGCTGGTTATACCGTCGGGACGTTGATGTCGGCACCGTGCTCGATCAGAACTTGAAGCGAATCGATCGCGTTCGAAGAAACAGAAACAAAGAGAGCCGCCGCCACATCCTACACGATCGTCACACTCAGATAGATCGAGGTCCTTACATCGCCAGGCGAGTCGTATGCAGCGAGCGCCGCATGGAGTGCTGGCACGTCGTTCTTGGCCGCCGCGGCGACCATCGCGGTCATGTTGGTCGCTGCGCTGTACGTTTGGCCCATTTCAAAAATGCCCTTGCCAATTCCGAAGACTCCATTAAGTACGACCCACCGACGAGATGTCGTGGGGTTGTTATATTGCCAAACGACCGAGCGACATATTTCCAGACGCTGCGTCTGCCATGAGCCAACGCAAGCAGCGCCATCGCTCGACGGCTCCAGGGGGCATTAATCCGGACTAGTCCGCACCCACTTCGCTGCCGCCGTCCACTGGTTAGCCATGCGTTTGTCGTCAAAACGCAGGGAGTCGGCTGCAGTGTGAGGAATGAACACGTGTTCCGCACCCGCGTCGTCAACGTCCGTTAACCAACACGGAGATCAACGTCTTGATCCGATTCACAATGCAAACTGACTGGTATTACCAATCCATTCGAGTCACTACGTTGACAGTCTTGCAGCCACCCAACTGATCGACTAACCACGGACGTCCGTGCAATTAAATGCGGTTTGCCCTTGGTCACTTCTAAGGGCACACGTCGCACTTCCGCGAATGCCGCGGAACAACACGCCATAAACCAAAGGGAATTTCAGTCTCAAGATTGGTATCGTTGACGGGGTAAGACAGGCCCGAGATCGACCATGTGGTCATCACGGTCGAGAGACTGGACGTGTAGTCTTGAGTGGGGAATCGGCGGCTCCATTCACTGACGAAGTGTTTTCCCGTGCGATCCGTCCTCATGCCCGACAACTTCCCCCTGACATAGCGAAGCGTGGCTCAAGTAGTCGTGCGTATGCGATGATGGATTGCTCATGGCGCATGGAAGTGGGGCATCGAGTTGTTGGAACAGGAGTCCCCACGAGAATGTTCCAAGTGTGTGCTTGGTCCAATCAAACCGAGATTGGACGGAATGTGGTTGGCACACGCCATGTCCATGACGAAGGCAGACCTCTTTGAACACGTGGATTTTCGCGACAAGCTTTCGAGGCGGCGTCGTTCGTGCCCAAAACTCCGCGATGGGAGGCGGCGGCTTAGTCCCCCACTCCGCGATCCGAGCGGGCATGGACGCCAGTGAGAAGCACGTGCTGATCAAGGCCAAAGCGACGAGGCAGAGAAGGACGGCTTGGAGGCGCCGATGGGTGACCCACCCGAGGCAGCGCCCAACTTGAGAGCTGACTGTCGCGTTTTGTTCAGGATCAATGAGCTGTCGTGGCTGTGCTGGGCCGCGCAGCGTCGGCGCACACCGACGACTATGTCAGCCACCAGACACACCCAACTACTAGTAAAACAAAGTCTCGACGGTCTGGAAGGAGGGGGGGTCGAACCAGGAAGACTCTGGAGGTCGTGCGGCCTCCAAGGACTCAACAATGCCTTGGCGGTGACGGCGTCATGGTGGATTCATCCAGCCATTTCAGCCAAAGATTGCCGCGTCGTTTGGACGAGCACCGAGTTGAATGGTTCGGACGTTGTCGAGACAAGGCGTTTGGGCCATTGCCGACTGGCCACCGGCCCAGGGTTCAGTGACCTTCAACAGGTACGACATCGGTGCTTGCGGTCGCTTGGACCCGTCGTTGAAGGCAAATTGCCGCGATCCAAGCAAGCCGCAGCACGCTTCGACCACACAATCGTCTTCGCCAACTTATTGTGCCTGGTTCCAGTTTTCCCTCGTCATCGCACATTGCACGCGGCCAAGAGATCCTTCCATCTTGTGCACGGCCGCTGATATCTCTGTTCGAGACTGTTTGAGG